TAGACCTTATCCAAAACCTTCGTTATCCAATTTGAGAGGTGCCCAAATTATTTATGCGGCGTGTTTCTTAATAAATATCTAACGCTAACTTGAGTTGCAAAACTCTCTCCGTCTCGTATCTCTCAACTTGCTCTCAACTTGCACACAATGCGTAGAGTAATTGAAGTGAGTGTAGAACAAATTTAAGAAGTAGATCTCCTGCCACCATCCATCATTGTTACCTACCCTGTTACAGCTTTAATTAAACCAATTAATTAATAATCTTAGTAGTTTATCAAAACTATATATACATGTACACAGAAACAAACTGTTTTTACATGCTTGCCATTCAATATTCACTGCTTTACGATTTTTTTTTTTTTTTTATGTTTTCCAATGTAAGTTTTGGGTTTTATGCATATGGAGACTCAGTATAATTCGATTTTTTTATTGAGATCTTAAATTTTTTTTAATCCAATTTAAGATTTTTATTATTACGTTATTGTTGTTTCAAACCCTATCTAATGATATTTCGTCATCTAAGCATACGTGACAAGCTTTGGTTAATGATAACTTGTCATATCACTAATTTAATTATCCAATTTGAGCCATCATGACATGCGACAAGCTTATCACGTGTGCTTATATTGTACATTAGGATATAAAAAAATAATAACATTAGTGTAAAACTCTTAAATTGAACAAAAAGAAAAAAACTTAAGATCTCAATAAAAAAAATTCGAATTGCACGAGTTTTTAATACGTGCAAAACCCTACCGTTTTTATTTATTTCAGTGGGCTACCGAATCCAAATCAAATATTGAGTATAACATTAGCATAAATGGAAATAATAATTTTGCGATGAGGTAGTTACAAATTAAACAAGGATGCTTCAAAAATAATATCACCGATTGTTTAATCAAAACAGGATGCTAAGTTACAATGGGTTTAATACTTTTATGATATTTCAAAAACAAAACAGAGAGAGAAAGAGAGCTTTCTATCTCAAGGATTAAAAAAATATTACGATGCTTATTATTAAAAAAATTTCTGGGTATATACTTGTTAAACATTTAGTATAATCAGGGGCAGAGATGCGTGGAATAGAAGGACGGAATTGCCCTCCCTCCTAATGGTTTTTTTTAAAAAAAAATCATAATAGTCTTTGTTAGTTTTAAGAATTTAAATTTGCCCCCTTCTTTCCAGACATTTCTCACCTATACTTTCTGGAACTTGCCCATCAACTCCTGGCATTTACTATTTTTGTGATTGTTTCAACGATTTTTTATTTAATAATTTAATTCAAATAAAAAAACTCACTATAATTATATTATTTTATACAGTAGAACTTAACGACTTTCACATTTGTCCCCGTTGCCTAGAACTTTCAACTCCGCTACCGTGTATATATATAAATATATATATATATATATCATGAGAAACATGAACAAATTAAATACGTATATACAAATGCTATATGATGAGGTGGCAGATCCTCAATAGAACGAAGGGTTGGATGAGCTTTTTTCTTAGTTAATCGTGTGATGATGGTGTATTTTTGTCGTGTGATCACGATGTTATAATTGTAAAACAAATTCTTTTTATTGGGGTTTGAAGGAATTTTCGAATGGCTAATTTAAGGTTTCTCCTAAAGAGATAAAAATAACTTTATTAGCTATAATTTTTTTCATTTAATGCATGTTTTTTGTATTTTTTCTTAGGAAGTGATGGATGGGACCGGAAGGTGATACGGAAGCGGACGAATCCCGTTTGCGGGAAGTCTTTTGCCATACGGAGTTCTGTGTAGTCTTTCTTGTGATAGAGAGATTCCATTAATTGCTTTCGTTAGACGAGGAACACGTGTGAGCACCACTACGTCTATTTAATTATCAATAGAAAAGTAACATTATTATTATTATTATTATCATTATTTTGGGAAGTATAAATGAAATGATAAATACATCGGATTCTGATTTTCATCAATACTGTGGTAATTAATTATTAGATCATATGTATGTGTAGAAATGAAGTATATGTTCAATGGGTGGAGCCATGATCCATAGTAGAAGGGTAAAGATAGTACGATCCTTGCACATATAGGTTAAACAGGCTTTTCCGTCACTCATGGGAATGGCACGGCCGGCTTTAATTTGTTGAACATCTGCACGTTTATCATGTCGTTCAGAAAATGGAGAGCCAATAGAAAATTTGACTTTCTTATTTTATTCCTATTCTAAATATTAATTAACCAACTTACTAGTATTAATTGATTTTGTTGAGTTATTTGTTCTTTAAGTTACAGCTAGCTTATATGACATCTACTCAACCCTAGTAAAGCACAGTACGCAATTATTATTTAAAAAAAAATATCATAACTTTCGGACTTTCTAGATTAACAGATTTTTTATTTTTTTTTTGACTTGTAGTTGTATGTATGTAAATGTGGATGATCATAAGGTAGAAAGCAAAATTGCAGAGAAAACACAGCTAAATTTGGTGAAGAAAATTAAGACTAATTAAAACTGTTTTGAAAATTTATTATCAGAAAACTCAAAAAGTCATGTGTTGAAAAATATTTTTTAATCAAATTAATTTTAAAGTATGTCAAAACTAGCACGACAACTCCTTAATTGTTGAAAAAAAAAAAAAAACTGTTTTGTTTAGCGAAAGCGGCATGGAGAATGAATTGCTGATGCCTCGGTGCCACTTATATTTTTATCTGCTACAGACCAACATGTCGGTCACGCACCAAGCCAGAAAAATATATCACAAATATCCTAGCTAGAAATTGCCAAAATATGATGCTCTGTTTATTTATTTTGATATTTCTAATTTATCTCGTGTTTGGCTTGCATAAAAAAAATATTTAATGGATATGATTTTTTTAAAAAAAATACAACAAACTTGAAATAAGAGAAAACAACTTATGGTTGTGAAGAAATGAAAATGTTTTACAATACTATATTTATTATTGAATCATGGAACAACTCAAAGAAATAAACGTTTGATTTTTTATTTTTGCCAAAAAATAGAAATTTTATTGAAATGAAAATGAGGAATTTATTTTTATCTAGGTTCGAGGCCACCTAATTAATATACATGAAGATTCTCTCCATATAGAAAATAAAAGGAAATTACATGCCACAATAAGTACGTCAAAAAATATATTATAGAAATTTTATTTTAAAACTAAATATTTAAAATTTAAATCTAAAATATAAAAACTTTTACAAGTAGACAAACAACTGGCACACTCTTTTCTGACAATTGATGGATAATTTTGTTGGCTTATTGATTTTTCACTTGAAATTGTTTTTTCTTTTAAACAAAAAAAAAAAAAAATCTTTTCTGATAATCCACCGGTAGCTTTGTTGGCTTAACCTTTCACATGAAATTCTTTATTTATAGTACAAGATATATAAATACTAAATCGTCAATAATAAACTTAAAATAATATATATATAAACCAGGCAAAATAGTAAAAAAATAAAATCAAGAAATAAACGACTGACTACTTTTATTCCTTACTTTAAATTGCACTGTTAACATAATGTTTTAATTTTTAAAACCTTTTAAGGAATTGGTCTGATGGTTGAGAAGATTTGATCTTTTCTTGATTTTCTATATCCAAAACTTAGATTAACATCGAAGAAATTTTATTAAATTTATTTTAATGTACTAAATTAAATCGACGTGAGAGGTTAATTTTCTAAAATGATTTAGGAAAACATTTAATATGATTAATGCATGAACTGGCCTGAATATGCTTATATTGTCGAATAAAAAGACCATATTTTGTCGAATAAAAAGGCATTTAATATGATTAATGCATGAACTAATCAGTGCATAGTTTATCAAGAGCATTGTAATTTTAGAAACAAATATCTTAATCACAATCTTTTGCTTATTCAAGATCTTAAAATACTCACGGTACTTAATGGGATTAGATTCGGAATTTATTGTTTCTCTTTCGATCAGTGAAAAGCCAACTCATGGGATCAGATATCGAATTCATTCCTCTACTTTTCTTTTATTTTTTCGAATTTCAAGCAGGCAAGGCATCAATGCCTTTGCACTCGATTGCAAGTCACTAATTAAACCCAGGCATCTGCATTCCAACACCCCAAACTAAACGAACTAACTTTACCACTTATTTGTCTTTTCCCAAACCCTATGCCTGCCCCTGGCTTTGGCCTCCCATGGGGCCCTTTTGACCACTGCTTGCCATGCCCATCGTCCGCTGTCACCTTTTTCATTTTTTTCTTTACAAGAAAATAATAAAAATTTTATTTATGTTTTTTCATCCAAACACATTAAAAAAAAAAAAAAAAAAGCTATCACAACAACTCCATATGAAAATCGAAATTTATAATATTTTTACAAATTAAATTAATTGGACGAAAGAAAAAACTTCTCCAAATAAACAACTCAAAGTGGTATTTGAATGTGAAAAATTAAGCGAAATGCATGACCCTTTTCTTTATTTTTATCTTTTAAAATATTTCAGATTCAAAAATCTAAAATAATCACTTATTGTTCTATTAGATATGTAAAAAACATAAAAAAGCTACTTTGAGATTTTTTTTAAATAAAAAGATACTTAAATATAAAATTATTTATTTAAATAATTAGAATCTTTTTATTTAAGATAATCTTTTTGAGTAAGACGCTTCGCCTTTAACCAAATGAATCAGCATTCAGTATTCATAGTCCATTGCTACTAGTGCAACAATATTTGGACCAGTGTACTACAATAATTAAGAAAGGTAGGTAATTAAAAAGAGAGAAAGAGAGAGAGAGAGAGAGAGAGAGAAGAATTGTCTTGCTGTTTTATTTTTTAGAGGCATTAATTTATTTTACGGCAAGTGGACGCCATTTGAAAAACCGCTTTGTTTGCTAGTGCCTCCACCTCTTGCATGATGAGCCCTTATAAAAGAGGCAACAAATGAGACGACCTGTTAATACCATAATCAGAAGACAGTACAGTTCCCAGCTTTCAAAACCTCTTGAGTTTCACTAATATGGGCATGCCTCAAAGGAAAAGATTACGTACTACAGTCACTGATAATCAGAAATCTGATCTCTTTGATCAGTTACCAGACGATCTTGTTCTTTATATTCTTTGCAAGCTTAGCTCTTCTGCCTCTTGCCCATCAGATTTTATTAACATTCTTATCACGTAAGTCTTTTTGCAAGTTTTTGTAGATTTATTCATGTTGTTTATGCTTGCTACTGCCTTGGTGGGATTTTGTTTGAATGTTTCTAGATGTATTATTTTGAATATGTACTTAACAGATGTAAAAGATTAAAGCGGTTGGCTCTCAATCCTTTGGTTTTGTCGAAAGCTGGAGTTAAAACGTTTGCCATAAAAGCAAAACGTTGGTCAGATTCGGCTCACCAGTTTTTAGAACGTTGTGTTGACGCAGGCAACAGAGAAGCCTTATACACTTTAGGAATGGTCAGTGTGTATATGTTAGTATATTTGTCAATAAAGATTGAAAGTTTCAAGTTTCTCTCTTCCAAAGAAGACCAATATTATATTTGTGACCAATAAAGATTGAAAGTTTCTAGTTTTTGGTGTTTCTAGATCCGATTTTATTGCTTACAAAACCGGGGAAATGGAGCTTCTTTCATGGCAAAAGCCGCTATCAAATCTCACGCCTTGGCTCTGTATTCTCTTGCTGTCATACAATTTAACGGCAGTGGAGGCTCCAAAAACAATAAAAATCTCCGAGCCGGGGTGGCTTTGTGTGCTCGAGCTGCTGTTTTGGGTCATATCGATGCGCTTCGGGAGCTCGGCCATTGCCTTCAAGATGGTTACGGCGTCCTTCAAAATATTGTTGAGGGACGCCGGTTGTTAGTCCAAGCTAATGCAAAGGAGCTCACATTATCCTTACGTTCCATGCTGACATGGAAACCCCAACAACAACAACAACAACAGGCAGAGGAACAACAAAATCTCCATTTTGCTTGTACGGTGATGGGTACTACTTCTATTACGGGATGTTCACTGCTAAGTGATTTCGGATGTAACGTGCCGGCCCGAGAGGTGCACCCAGTGAACGAGTTTTTGAAAGAATGGTTCGAGTCAGGAATTGGGGTGTTACATCCTGGTTTGAGGCTATGTTCGCATAGTGGGTGTGGGAGGCCAGAGACAAGACCGCATGAGTTTCGCCGGTGTTCGGTTTGCAGCACGGTGAATTATTGTTCGAGAGGGTGTCAAGCACAGGATTGGAAGTTAAGGCATAAAGTGGAATGTGTACCGACGGAGCAATGGCAAGAAGTGTTGGAAGATGGAGATCATGGGATTGGAGGAATGGTGGAAATGGAGGAAGGCGAAGATGTGGCTGTTGTTTAATGATAGATATTAATTTGATGCAGATTAGGAAAAAGAAATGCAGCGTTGCCTTTTAGAAATGGGAATTCTTGATAGTAACTCTTCTATTTTTATTTTTATTTTTCTTTCGTTTTTTATTTATATGCATATATAGAAGGCTTTGGAGATTGTTTTGTGTGACATAAAAATTTAATATATAATTGTTGCAAAAACAGTTCCCATTTCATTATGCTGTTAATTAATTACAAAACATTAATATTCTTTTCTTTTTCTCTCTTTGAAAAAAGTGGCAATTATTATTATTTTTTTTTATAAAGCAATAAATCAACTAGGCACAGCCAAGACTAGAATCTGAAAGATACTATATGGATAGATATCAAAGAAGAAAAAGGTTGTCAAGAAAAGTACTATCCAGACCTTTCTTTCTATAAGAAATTACTATAAAAAAAAAAAAAAAAAAACACGATTCTTTTTTCTTATTATTTCACTGTCAAAGATGTATTACGAAATATTTCTTTCTCACAATTTTCTCTTTATAATTATTTCGTGTAGTTTCTTTCTTCTTTTTTCAATCCAGTAATTTTCAGTAAAGATCAATGGATAACTTAATTATTTCGAATAGTTTTGTAGGCCACCACAAACCACAAATAGCTAGCTAGCCGACGCTCCAATCAAAGTCTTGGAATTGGAACGTTTACCTTACAAAAAAAGGGGTTGAAATCAAATATTTGACGAAAAAGCCAATTGCTGAATTATTGCTAATACGTTTTTAATGTGGTGTGCATGACGTTAACTTCAAATCAATTAAAAGAAAGTGGAACCATCAATCATGTCGTGTGAATAGGTTTAGAGTTACTGTTGCCATCTAACTTCCTAAGATTAACATTAAATGGGCATGAGTAGTGACAAAAAGAGGGCCCAGAGTTGTTTGAAATCCACCAGCCGACGGACTATAAGAGATCTACACATTAAAGCTAAGGCCTAAGAGACAGGAATGGGATGGGATTTAATTAAGGGCGATAATCACTTTTGATAGCCGTTCTTTTTTGGTGGAAAAATCAACTATATAATTGCAAATACAGACCCATTTTAAGAATTTATCTGGGTTGTTCAGGATTTTTTTCAAAAAAAAAAAAAAAATTAAAACCAAAAGGCTGGAACTATTTAATTTTCGGCATGGACTAGTGAACAACTTTATGGTACTTTATTAGACGGGAGCAGCATTGCATGAAAAGAAACCACTTCCAACTTCCAGGCCTTCAAAGTCAAATTAGTCTTTGAAAAATTGTCAAAATAGTCTTTGAGAAATTCTGGTTGGGACAAAGGCTTTTTAATTTTTTTTAATATCCAATCTTTGATTTTTTTTTTCCTATTTTAGTGTCTAATAGTTGACTTCTCATGATTTACTATCTAAATTTTGTTTTTTTATTTATTTTGATATCCGAATTTACATAAAATCCAATTGTATTTACATGTCCAACGAGATTTGTCACGCGACACTCAACCATGTCGCGTCAACACTTCATACTTTCATATAGTTATGGACACTAAATAGAAAAAAAAAATCAACGGTTAGATATTGAGACTGAAAAAAATTAAAGATCGAGTACTAAAAATGTAATTTTTTTAAAAAAATTTATTGTTTCGAGATTACAAAATTAGTCGAATAATTTCTAATAAATATTTTTTATATCATATTCGTTATGTTTTTTTACTTATCGGTGATAATTTTTAATACTATATATCATTTAAAAAATAATTTTTAAAAATTCTAAGCACTTTTACATATTTAGATAAATTTAAAATTATGTCATTTAATCCAAATATATAAAATGTTCAATTAAGATTAAATTTAAACAAACAAAAGACATATAAGATCCAATTGATTGCTATAAATGGTGGGTCAATAGAAAAAGTTACAAAAAAATAAAAATTATTTTCTCTACCTATGGAGAAAATTAACCAACATATCATAGATGACATAAGCTTGTTATAGCCAATAACTTGTTGAATTTCTTCTAGTAAGCTAAGATGAAATAGAATCAATATAAATAAGTTTAATAATTAAGATTTTTTATTTGAGCGTTTAAAGTGTAATATTTTTTGTAACGATGACGATAATAATAAATGTAATAAGTAAACTATGAATTAAGTTAAAAGGTAAATGCATTGTTAAAATTGCGTGTGCAATTAGTATAATAACAAGAAAATATGCATGCATGTAATTGTTGATATTTTTAAAATTTAAAATTATATGAATTTCAATATAAAAAAAGAAAATTTTGAGAGATTATATACATATATTATGAAAATACAAAAAATGCATGAAATCTTTTTATAATAAAAAAAAATATATATATACCGCAGTATAAGAAAGGGATATGCATTTACCGTGAAAAAATTGAAATAAATTTCTTTAAAAAAATTATTATTTTAGTGTCTAACCTTTGATATATATTTTTTTAGATGCCTAAACTTTAATTTTTTTTGTTTCAATACCTAACTTTTGATTTTTTTCTATTTAAATGCCCATAACTATCTAAGAGTATGAGGAGTTGACGTGACAAAATTAACTCCCACATAACATTTTTTGATTGCAACATGACAGATTTCATTGGACATGCTAGCAAAATTAGACCTCATGTGAACTCGCCAACTCATGTATTAAAACAAACAAAAAAAAATTAAAACTTAGGTAGTAAATCATGAAAAATTAATAGTTGGATATCAAAAGAGAAAAAATAAAACTTGAATAGTAAATCATGAAAAATTAATAGTTCAGTACTAAAATAGAAAAAAAAATTGGGCGGAAAAAAAGAAAAACCTTTCTCCCATTCTTGTTTGAATCCACCTTAACTGACATGTTCTTGGTGTTCTGTGCCTGGCCTTTAAAAGCCGACAGTTTTCGTTCCTGGAACTTTCAAAGTTTGAGGCATATTGAAAAAAAATTCGTACTTGTATAATTAATGGTTGGTATAGAATTTAGGTTCAATTCATGAAGGTGAATTGTTTTTGGTTAAACAAACGTAATGTCGTTGTTTTCTTTTCAAGTGATCGCTACAAGGTTTGAAGAGATGGTTTTGGAAAGTAGCTTTCTGGTCAGGATTTTGGGACCGTCCTACACAAATCGCAATAAGTTGGTTACAACGACCCAATTGATGTGGTTAAGGGACAGACCAAGTGATCACATGGAAATTTCCGGATGGATCATTTTGTGACCCACCACTTTCTCGAAACATGAAAATCCAATTGTTAGCTTAGTTTGTATTTAAGCCCTTAGATTCTGAGGTAATTGCAAAGCAGCGACTACCAGGTACAAAATGCTAAAGCATTTTATTGTTTATTATTATTTTTTTAATTATCTTCTACTTAATTCAAACATGAGAGAATGAGTGCTCAATGTTTTTTTTTTTGATAAATAAAATGATTTTTCAATATCATCCATCGAGGTCTAATAGCTATCCTTAGAAAAAGAGAATCTTGTTGCATAAATTTTACTAATTTGTTCAATTTAATGAATTCGATAACTTCACAAACTAATATTCTAGTTAAATTTAGTTTTAATATTGTAAGTTGAGTCAGTATTGTACTTTCTTAAGTTAGTAGACAAGTAAAAGCAATGTACAATGATTATAAGCTAATAAGTTTTTTTTATTAATATTTTTAAAAATTAAGAAAGTAGGCTTTTTCGTATGGAGTTCCGAATTAATAAAAAATAATAGGTTCACATTAAATAAAATTTAGGTATAATTTTTTTTTAAATTAAAATCACACCAATTAATATTCTTACAACATGTACAGAAATATATTAAATGCCATAATTTGATCAAAAATCCATATTCTTGAAATCTAATTTAATCATTTAAATAAAATACCTCACATTAAACAAAATTGAACAATGTCTTTTATTTTTTTCAAATTCCTTTTAGAAATTCATATAAAATTTACAAAGTAGGCTTTTTTCATTAACATTTTTAAAAATTAACAAAGTAGGCTTTTTGGTATGAAGTTCCTAATTAATAAAAAATAATAGGTCAACGTTAAATAAAATTTAGGTATAATTTTTTAAAAATTCAAATCACACCAATTAACATTCCTACAACATGTATATAAATATATTAAATGCCATAATTTGATCAAAAATCCATATTCTTGAAATTCAATTTAATCATTTAAATAAAATACCTTATATTAAACAAAATTAAATCATGTCATTTATTTTTCTCAAATTTCTTTTAGAAATTCATATAAAATTTAATTTAAAATTATTTTATTTCAAAATATTCCATAACATAAAATGGGATTATTTGACATTATTGTCATATTAAAAAATAATTTAATTATTATGTATTGCATTTCATTAGAAAATAATCAATGAATAGTAATCCATTAAATCAAGATTTAATGTCATTATTTTTATACAAATTCCATAGACTAGGAATTCATTCCATTAATTCAATTAAGCATTTAACAAATTCATTTGGAGTCTTAATTAGATTTTTGGCCATTTAAAATATTTTCGGACTTATGGAACTTTGGTCCCTAATTTATTTGAAACTAACCCCATTAAATACATTTATTCATTAACCATTAGTTTCATTTTATATCTTAACCTCACCAACCCTTTTTTTTTTTTTTCCCATACCATTTCGATTTCATACTTTTTATCATTAATTTTTTAGTTACTAAATTGGGCAGAATATTAACCGTAGGGATTGGTTTGGTAAGTTAACTATTTGGAAGGTCTGTTCTAATTATTTCGTTTCGAAATTTTTAAGGTTTTTACAAATACTTGTCACTAGCCTATGATTTAAATTTTATAATTTTAGGAGCCCATTCACTATTTATTTTCTATTTGTTTATCATTCTGCCGTGTTTTCAGTTAACAATGTGAATTGTTTTTTTTTGTTTTTTTTGAATTTATTTATTTGATCTAGTGTTTAATTTTATTTAATCTGAATTTTTTAGGGTTTGTGCATATTTTTATCTTAGTCTTGTAATTTATTTGTTTTACAATTTTA